GGTCAACGCCTGAGGGCTCCCAGTATGTGAGAGGGGGCAGGCTGGGCTGAGGGACACTACACACACACACACACACACACACACACACACACACACACACACCAAGTGCACGAATTTCGTGCACCGGGCCCCTAGTATTAAATAGGAAATAACCTAAAATCTATATAAAATTTTTTTAAAAAACTGCTGAAGGCAACAAATAATGCTCTAACAAATTCAAAATTATCTCATGTTCTTGGGTGTTATTAAAATTTTAATTCTTTTGCAAGTGAAGTCATTAATTAAATACCATTTTTTAAGTAGGGGAATTTTTATAAAATTTACATGGAAAATGAACAAACAAGTACAAGGAGAAAACTAAACTGAAGAAGTGCACAGAATGAACACTAGCCCTGCCAGATACTAAACATATTACCAAATAGAGCAATGGAAAAAGAAGAATTTCACATAGAGCAAAGTTAAGTGGACAGCAACGGACAAGGGAGACATTCCCAAGCTACAGAACCAAGGCCTAGTCAAGGACACTGACCACCCCCAGAATAGCAATTATGGCAAAATCTGGCTTTCAGAATTGACAAAGACTGCTATGTACCTACCATTCTTGCTCTTTTTAAATGGGAGGGCCCATAGGGGTTATCTCTCTGTGTCATCACTATACACTGGGTGTTGGGCGGGGGAGATAACTTCTTTCTTTAGTTTTTCAGATTAAGAGGAATGATAAACAAGCATCAATCTCCAGACCTAATGTAGATTATGAGATCTATGTGGACTCAGAGTGTGATGATGTGACGCAATGAGAATTTGCTGATTTTGAAGAAGTGAGCATATTTTGCTAATAAGATGAATGTGAATATTCAGGCCAGGGAGTAGACTGTAGGAGTTGATTCCAATTTTTGATTCTTCCATGTACCCATGCCCTTTGCAACTTGACTCTGCAGTTCTTCCAAAAAGTGGTAGTTTACTAATCTACACTTTGAATCTCAGTTGACTTGACACATGCCTTTGCCAAGGTAATGGGGTAGAAGTGATGATATGCCAGTGCCAAGCCTATACCATAAAATGCATCACACATATCCACTCTCTTTCTTTGTCATGCCTTTCCTCAAGAATATGTGTTTGCACACTCACTTTTTTGGTGGGTGTCAGACCTATATAATCTGGGCCATTGTTCCAGCCGAGGCCCTAGACGTGGAAAAGTACACTGGCAGGTGACTGGCAGCTTGCTGCAGGGACATGAGGAAGCCTTGTGGAGATCAACTGAGACTAGCAGAACCAGGCAGCTGACCCATAGACTGTTGCACAAAAACAAACATTGATTGTTGTTTGCCTCGAAAGTGTTGTGGCAGTTACTCAGCATTATTATGTAATACATAATTAATACAAGATGTTTCTATTGAAGGCGTTCAGTGATGAGAAGAGGTATTCAGGCTCTGTGGTCACACAGAACTTGTTTAAATCCTTATTCTCCCAAAGAGTTCTTTCAAATGTTGGAAAGCTACCAAACTTCTTTAAACCCAAATTTTCTTGCCATGGAATTGAGGATAGCTGACAGCAATAGCATCTACCTGATGAGAATTGTTTTGACACTTAAACGTGATAACCCTTCAAACTGCACTGCAGAGTAGGTGGCACATAGTGAGTGCTAAATTAATTCTAGTTGTTATACTTACTTCTCTACCATTTTGAAATAATTTATAAGCTTTCTGTATAATCACCAAATAATTTTAATCTGAATTTAAATTTAACATGAAAAATCATGGGAAATAAACAGCAGGGCAGAATTATGTTTATAATTTATTTATTGTTTAAAAAACACTTAAATTAAGAAGCAGGCTCCATGAAATACCGTAATTTCTGCAAGGGCAAAGATGCCGCTGCACTCAGCTGTTTTCCTTCCGCCACTCAGTGGATTTGCTGCCAGATTGTGGCCGCTTACTGAATGTTCGTTGCATTGAAATTGTGCATGACGGCATGGACTTCCGTCTTTGCCGCCGCCACACTGGAAGTTGAATATATGATTAATGTTAGCTAAAAATTAATTCCAATTAAATAACCACATTATCTTACACACGGTGGCCACTCACTAAGCATTCGTTGAACTGACTATGAAAGCAAATAGAAAAACATGCAATGGTCATGGAAATTAGATAATTAGCTTTTGAGAGGTGAACAGGGCAATATGAATTATTCAACATGGTTTCCGTATTTCTAAATAATTGCTAATAAATGATTTGTCAGGTGTAAGTAAGAAAAAAAACCATAAACATATAAGTAAACATCACCACTAATAATCTCAATTTTAAAATTATTTAACAAACACAAATATATGCTTAATTATGTTAATATCTACTTTTTCTCAGGAAAAAAATAAAAAATTTGTTGAGTACCTTTTTTTTATTGCCAGGCATTATGGTATTATAGACTATGATAAAGAAAGAAAATGAGTGAGAAACAGTCATGTTATTTAAAGAAATTATAACATAGATAAACAAATGAATATTTACATAATTATAATTCCAAAAAAAAGATGCTATATTATATTACCAGATTATATTGGAGTGTACTATATAGAATGACTGCCAAAGAGTGAAAGGGCAAACAAAGAGTTTCTTAATATGCAATGTTTGGGGTAAATATATTTGCAGAAATTTTATGGAAATTTTGAGCTTATTTAATCCTAGAATAATGGGAGAAGAAGAAAAATGTGTTCATTGTGGGGGGAGTGTTATTTATAGAACTGAAGCAAAGTTATACATTTAAAAGAACCAAATTACTAAAAAATAAAAATTAAAAAAAAGGACCTCTGTGGCTTATGCTATGTTAATCTTTACTCTTTCCTTCCTAAAAGAAACCTGGTTCTATTTCCAGTGTCAATGTGCTCATTTAAGAAACTGTCTTTTCCCGATTCCATTACAGTTAGGAGTGGTCATGTGAACAAGTTTGGGGAATTTAGATATAAGCAGAATTAAACATTTAAGCTCCTTAAATGAAGAGACTCATGTGGCATTAAGATTTTGTCTTACCTTATGTGTTCTTACCTAATTAGATTTGATGCTGTAGGAAAACCACCAACCAAATACCATGAAGTACTAAGCATGAGGCTCAAGCCATATGTTCCAATGGCTGAGTGAAAAATAGAAAAATCCTGCATTCTCAAAGACAACTTAGTGCTGCTATTCCAGACCCGGTCTGAATATCTCCAGCCTTCTTAGCTCAAAGCCACATTTAGTCTTATCTGACAGAACAAGGGTCCAGAACAACCCCAAAAGAAAAAGAAGAAATGCTACCTCTACTGCTAGAAGGGCTAGGCTGAAGAAAATGGAAGTGGGGGGTACGGGGGTGGGGAATGAGGGGAGTGAAAGAAAACAAGCTTCAGGCTGATGGAAAATGTGACAGATGCTACCTGACGTGAAATGCGAGGAACAAGGTGGTGAAAGAAAATCAAGTCTGCACAGTGATACAGAATTGCAGTACTATTTATTTTTCTTCTTAAAGAATGAGAAAGGTAAGCTTTCCAAATTTCTACAAAAAAATAGGAAGGAAGGAAACCAAGGCAGCATCAACAATAAAAATATAAACAAAATTAAAATTAAATGTTATATAAATCACACAAAAAGGTAAGAGGACACTAACCAGCTATCTTATGTGTGTGCCCTAACATTTCTGAAATAATTGCAGCCAAAAAGCTTGTCATTAAAATTGAAGTGATTTTGTTGAATAGTTCCATGGTCAGGATCTGCCTAGAGACAATGAAATAATATTACTTGTAAATTATTTTTCAACAAAATAATCATCTTCTAGTCCAAAGCAAAAATGAAAGGTAAATGATTTTATGAACAAATAAAATTTAATGAGCATTATGTTTTATTTAATGGTGTCTTTCTCATTTCAAATTTTAATATGGAATTAAATATGGAGATAAAACCATTATTTAATCAAGCTGCATTCTCAAATGTGAGTATACTAATGTCTGAATTACTAAATATGAACAATGCTGTGAATGAGTTTCAAACAGTATTGAATCTGATCTCTTTTTGTTATGTTTGCAAAATTGAAAGTAGATCAACTAATCTTACATTTTAGTCCACAAAGCTCACATATTAAGAAGTAATGTTAATGTTAGTCATTGTTGTAAGTACCATTGTTGTAAGTTGTGGCGGGCTGGCACGGCCCTGGCATACTCAGTCCCACATTGGGCACCTCATGTGCCGTGCCAGCTCAGCCAGTTTTGGTGACGCTGAGAGGGGGCAGTGAAGGATTGAGAAAAGACAGACAAGAGAATGAAAGCTGGGTCTTAGTGGGACGCTGCCCTCTTTGATGGAGAGAGACAGTGCCACGGACTACAAGACGTGTCTTTATTTAATAGCCAGATTCCACGAGGCAAAGTAGCTGTTGGCTATAATTGTGCTGGAAGGGCTCTGCTCTCCAAACTGGGACTTACACATGGCCATGAGAGGGCTGTGCCTTCTCATCAGTCCAAAGCTTGAACCTGTCCAAACACTGTAGCTGCTCTCCACAGTAAGTATCACTGTAATACAGGTCTTTCCACCTGTTACTTACCTACCAGCTACAAAGCCTAAGATAATTTAAGAATCTATAATAATAAAAGCGCAATATGCTAATTAGACCAGGCAGCCGAATGACCTTCTGAATATCCTTCCGAACGACCTTCCAGACAAAGCCACAGCTGTGAAGGCCGAGCCCTTGCACTAATTTCGTACATCGGGCCTCTAGTAAATAAAAAAACTTCTTGGTTGACTCTAGCTGGGTTTTTATACTTACAGTAATATATCCAAAAAATTCCAAAACAATAACAAAATACAAAAGGTCCAATGTTGCTCAAATGTTGGACAATTAGTATCAGTTGCCTAATAGAGAGTAGATTTAGGTTTTTAGGGGTAATATAGAAACAGTGGTTGCTCCTCTTCTAGAAACATAATTGTTATTCATATCCAAGTCGTTATATTAGAGTAGGAGATTTAAAAATTAGAAAATCACATTGTTGGCATGGCTCAGTGGTTGAGCATTGACCTATGAACCAGAAGATCATGGTTCCATTCCAGGGCACATGCCTGGCTTGTGTGCTTGATCCCCAGTGCAAGGTGTGCAGGAGGCAGCCAATCAATGATTCTCTCATCATTGATGTTTCTATCTCTCTTCCTCCCTTCTTCTCTAAAATTAATAAAAATAAAAATAAGTAAATCTACTTCACATAAATTAATCCACATACCATTGGAAAGTTACTGTTACTCCCTAGAAAATTTCCAGTGCTGGAGGCTAGGTAACATTCTCAAGAGCACAGTTCTAACATGAATCAGGTTTAGTTTTATTCCTGATTGTGACCTTAACCACTGTACATATGACACTGCTTTTCTAATATTAGGCTTTCGAAGAAGGAAGTTTAAGACTAGATGCCATCCCTTGTAAGAGACAGGAACAACCTAATGGACAGGGCAAGGAGAGCCATCTCCCTTGTCTCAGGCAGAGGGAGGCTCTGCTCACTTCTCTCCTCACACACTTCAGAGCTCTCTGGTTGTTTTACCAAGAGATATACTAAAATAAAGATAAGAAAGAGGAAAGAAGATAATAAAAAATTAAAAACAATAAAAAATAGATAACATAAAAGGAAATAATTAAATCAATGCCTAAAGGTGATAAGAAAAAAGTAAACATGAGATAAAAAGAAGTCTTATAAAAAAGTGAGAAAAGATAAATCAACTAAGAACAATTAACTGTGAGACTGTAAAAACAAAAGGACTATAAGATTAAAAGGAAATGATAAATACGCAAAAAATGTTTAATGAATTCAAAAGAGAAGAGAACAAACTAGGACATAAAATACTAACTGGAATAAAATAAAAAATAGAAGTACTACAAGTTCCAAAGATTAACCCAGGCATACATTTATGTACTTAACGGTAAAAATTATTGAACATTTTAAGTAGATGCCACACAAAACTGTGCTCTCCTTACTGTGGGGCAGGGGGAGGAAGGAGATGGGGTGTCTTCTTTGGCTTTAATCCTCTGGGAAACTGGAGGAGAGTTCATGACCATTCTATTGTTCTTTGACCTCAGCTCAATCTGTGCCCAAGATGCTGATCAGCCATCTAATTGCTTCCACAGAATTTTCTACAAGGCGCACAAATCCTTGTTTCTCATGGGATATGCTGCTCCAGCCATGAACTAGTCTTTTGCTAAGAGGAGTTAGCATGATGCCATTGTATGTTTATCCGAGATAGTGAAATGCTGCCATGTTAGCTTCAAACTGTTGTTAAAAATGGGTGGGTCATTTGGTGAGTTGTATTAGTAATTCTATATATTACATCAATCATTTTCATGTAACAGCCTATGAAATTATGCATGTAGACATACATACAAAAGAAAGATAATAAAGATATGAAAGGATAATATGGTGATATAGTCACTGAAGCATTGTTTTGTCTAGCATCACTCCCCCTGCCTATCACCTCTCATTTTTGTCATGAGGCATGAGGCCAATGGAACTGTCAGAGAAGGACCTGAGAACATACTAGTATGTGAGAATTATTTACCTTCTGAGTGAAAAAGCTGTGTATCTAGATTTAAGTCTGGTGTATTTAAGAAATGAACCAAATATTGAAAATTCTCACTATAATCACTGCTCTTAGTTTTTCTAACTATTAGTTAGAAACTATTTTCTAACATAGTTCAGACACATGTTACTGAACTATGGAAGAGAGAGAGACATGGGAAATTGAGGAAATAGTAGCAGTCAATAGATATTACAGGAAACAATGCTCCCTTCCCCCATTTACTAGAAATAGGTTCCTGGAGAAGGCTTATTCCACTTTGACTTTCAGGGAACTATAGGGGACAGTGCCCAGATGCCAGGTGGAGTGCAGGAAGCCAGCAAGTTTAATAAAGAAGATGCCTGCTGTCAATAAGTGGCAGATGTAGAGCAGAATAGTGTTGCTATGTGTGGGGACACAGGAGGACTAGAGATAATTCCCTGACTCTCTC